TCTATAAAGAGCTTTCAACTAGCTAGGATGCTCTGAGAAACCTCTATTTTTTTTATGATTTCACAACTGCTTTTTGGGAGCTATCATCTGCCTCTCTGTTTTCGTTTAGAGTCACTCCACCTTTGACTATTTTATAAATCAGGTTGTCCCCAAGTTTTCTGAAAACCTGTATGAAAACCTTTAATTTCACAAATAGCTTCAACTAAACTAAAATTAAGCTAAAAATAACCTTCCCAGAGGATCATGTCCAGTTTGGTTACATCCACTTACCCACTGCACCTGCATGCAAAATGGTAAACGAACACTGGATCCCTGGATCCATCAGGAACAGGTCAGAAGAAATAAACGTGCAGTGTATTCAGAAGACATTTGGAAATTGTTTGATCTCTCTTAATACCTCTGTGTTCCACTTCTACTTAAACCAGCTGTGTTTGGTTAGGAATGATTCATCACTTTACCCTGAAATAAAGATTTTTTTTATGTCTTAAACCAAAACCCCAAACTGAATTTAGTCTGAATTTGTGTATTCCCTCTACTCCAGAGAGCAGCCCTGGCACAAGCATTGGTTACTACTGGGCTGTGCAGGGTGCAACCCACAGCTAGGACTTCAGCATGTACGTGCTACATTGGATCCACTGTGAGTGTGTAACTGCTCGACACAATAGTTTTTCTTTGTCAGAGCTTAGGCCAAACCCATGTTCCCTGTCTGTGCCTGCTGTCATGACTGACTTCTAAGAGTACCACATTTTTGGTCACTTGAGTAAGAGCAGCAGATTGGACCATCCTCAGCATCAGCCAGGGAGCAAAGTTTTGGAATTAACATGAGCCCCCAAATCATCACTTCTAGAAACAGAAGTGACAACAAGTCATACAAGAAATGGCTTCACGTAATTTTATAGGGAAAAAGTGTTTGCTAGTATAACCACATTCTATACATGTCATCAGTAAGGTATTAGGGAGAGCCTTTTTGAGATAATAAAATATAACATGGATGTGCTCTTCTATGTTATATAATGCAAATTACTGAATTTTAATAGATTATAGAGTAACAAAATATTAGTTTTGTATTTAAAAATATATTTTGAAACATTATAATTCAAATGAAATTTCCTAAGTTCTCATATCATAAAGTATAGGAAAAGGCACATTTGCAGAAGTGTATTCTATTGCAAAGGAAATGTAAAATGTTCTCAACTATTAAGTACAACAATGGTTAAAATAATAAACAAAACAATAAAAATAAATGAAAGTCTATTGAGATTATTAATTGACTATGCATTTAATAGACTGATGCTGGCAGAATTAAAAAGCTAATTGTAATTAGAGTCAATACGGCCATTACTTGCTAATTAAGATTAGAAAAAGGGCCTGTATTAAAATCAAAGCTAATCACTATTTCCCCACTGGCCCCTTTCCTCCATCACCAGTTTGATTTTCTGGTGTAATTTATCTTTCATATTATATGGGAGGAGTGTCTAGCAGAAGAAGAAAGACTTTAATTCCTTCATGGTAGTTTAAGTATTTTTGGAAACAAATTTAATTGCTGATTTGTCTCTCAGTACATTTTTGAAATCTTTCATTACAGTCTCTAGCTACTCATGCTATTACCAAGAGAAAGGTCTCACAGGAGTTATTTTGTTTGGAGCCTTTTAGGATGGAAAGGAAAGAGACAGGACAGAAAATTATTAGAAAAACTATCTCTTGAAGCCCTGAACTATTACTTGACTTATAGCACGCTATTCCCTCCGTGTGACTGAATGGTTTATAACTTTGTTTTGAGTAAGTGATATACCTGTCAAATACAAAGGAAGGTAAGGAAAAAATTAAATCTATTTCTGAACAGAACAGATAGCTCTAGCCTCGGCTTCAAATTTGTTGTACATTTGTCTTTGCAACAGAGTGACCCAATCTTGAACATAGATAGCTTCAAACTGTTCTAACCAAATCTTCTCTCTCTGCACCAGAAACTTGTTTATTAGTAATAACAATTACTAGTCTATTTCTTACATGTCTACCCTGTTTCTCCCCTTGACTTCCTCCCTTTGGAAATCTCCAGAATCATTTTAGATATTATTAAGGTCTTATATTAGTGTAGGAAGTCTGTAATGATCTCATCACATTTCAGATATTTGTAACCTTCTCATCCCATCAAAGGATTTTCTTGTGAAATGAATGCTCCTTTCTCTCTCTTTGGAAATAGAAAAATGACACAAAAACACTAAGGGTCAGCTATGAGAAGCTGGAACATTTGGGGAATCTAGAAGGAAAACTTCATAGGAATTTCAAGCTAACAAGAAACAAATCCCAGCAGTCCTTGAGGGGGTAAAATACAACTAAAATCTCTAGGAAACAACAAAAAGCGAACATGTGGTCAAGTGGCAGATGGAATAAAAGCTGACTCAAAGGTCTGGGATTGTATCCTGCAGGAAGACCACCCAATGACATGGCAAGAAGGCCAAAGGCTCTGTTCTTACAACGGGTAGCGATTCCAATTTACAAGCTAAGTTTCCTAGCAATACTCCTTCAATGAATTAAATCATGTTTTAAATAGTACACACCAAATTCTATAGCATGAAATGTAATATCTAAGTGAACAATCATCTCCCAAAACACAAATGGGCTGAAATTATAATTGTTAAATTTTCCTCCTTGAAGCTCAGTTTCTTTCCTAATAACAGAATAACAAAGAATTATATGCATTTTCTCTTTCACTGGAAACACTGTGTGAAAACTGTCATCACTCAGATGAAAAATACAAATGAAGAGTCAAGAATACCAAAATCTCAACATTTTTAGGAAGTTTTTTTAAAAAGTATCATTTCTCATGAGCAAATAATAGATGGAATTTTAGTGTATAGTGTATTTTACAGTCTTCTATTCAATAGCAACCTTCCCGGCTGCAGAAACAATGCCAGAAAAGAAAGACACAGTCCCTGCTTATGTTGGTCTGGGAGTATAGTGTTTCAATTTCAGTTAAATTATATCTTGATTTAAAAACAGAACTAAGGGGCTGGCATTGTGGTATAGCAGGTAATGCCACTGCTTGTGGTGCCGGCATCCCACGTGGGCATGGTTTGAGACCCAAATGCTCCACTTTTGATCCAGATCTTTGCTAATGTGCCTGGGAAAGCAGCAGAAGATGGCCCAAGTCCTTGGGCCCCTGCAGCCACATGGGAGAGCTGGAAGAAGCTCCTACCTACTGTCTTCAGATCTGCCTAGCTCCAGCTGTTGTGGCCATTTGGGGACTGAACCAGAGAAAGGGAGATCTCTCTCTCTCTATCTCTCAGCGTTTCAGGTGAATAAATAAATCTAAAAAAAATAAAAAAATAAAAATAGGACTAAGTAACTACTTTCTAAAACTGGACATCATGGGCCGGCGCTGCGGCTCACTAGGCTAATCCTCCACCTGCGGCGCCGACACCCTGGGTTCTAGTCCCGGTCGGGGCGCAGGATTCTGTCCCAGTTGCTTCTCTTCTAGTCCAGCTCTCTGCTGTGGCCTAGGAAGTCAGTGGAGGATGGCCCAAGTGCTTGGGCCCTGCAGCCACATGGGAGATCAGGAGGAAGCACCTGGCTCCTGGCTTTGGATCAGCACAGCGTGCTGGCCGCAATGCGCCGGCCAGAGCGGCCACTTGGGGGATGAACCAACGGAAAAAGGAAGACCTTTCTCTCTTTCTCTCATTTAACTCTGCCTGTTAAAAAAATTTTTTTTAAAAATTGGACATCATAATAACTGACATGTTAGTAGCCTTTTCTGTGCTGCTACTAACTAACTTTGGCATCTTGGTTAAATCACTCAAACTGTAAGTAGAAAGTAAATATATTTAGTTATACTTTTCTCGATCTTCTAACATCAATTTTTAAGATCTTTTCAATGCATTACCTTTGTGAATCTTCATGAACTCCTGCAGTAAAAGACATGGAGACTGTGCCTTGTAGAGGATGAAATAACAAAGAATGCCAAGAGGGTTGCAAAACTCAATCTGCTGACTTCTGGTTCAGTGCTGTGTCTGTGACGCAGGACGTGAGCGTCAGACAAGCTGGGGACAGGCTGAGTGCTCTCTAGCTTAGTGACACTGGTTCACAGCTCTGAGCTTTAGTTTCCTTATCTCTAAAGACGGAACATAAGTTCACCACCCATAGAGCATTTGGCATAAAATAGTCTTCACAGCTAATTTTATCGTATAATAAAGAAAACAAGCAATACACAATCACGTGGTTGTAGAACAATTTTAACAGACTGTTGACTTCTCTGTCACTTTGCACCACTGCTAGAATTGACCCCTGAATGTGTAACACCCATGAATCTCAGCAAACCGTGGCTGTGCTTTTAGCAAGACCAGGATCTTTCAAATATGGCCATTTTTATCAATCTACTGAGGCCACAAATGAACAAGTACATCATATTTGGCATCATTTTTAAAACATCTTTCCATAGTTCCATGACCAAAAGAAAATAAGATCAAACCTTGTTCATCTCTCCTGAATATGGTAAACCTGGTGATATTGGCAACCTTTACTATTGTAACTATTGAAAAGGGATTATCACTGTTGATACACTAAAAGCAAAGCATATCTATTTGATGCCCAACCTTTACTTGTTTTAACCTTTCTCCCAGCTCTGCTAAAACCTGAGACGGGGCCAGCGTGTAAAGCTACCACCTATGACCCTTGCATCCCATATGGGTGTCAGTTCATGTCCTGGTTGTTTCACTTCCCATCCAGCTCCTTGCTAATGGCCCGGGAAAAGTAGCGGAAGGTGGCCCAAATATTTGGGCCCTGCACCCACATGGGAGACCTGGATAAAGCTTCTGGCTTCTGGTTTTAGCCTGGCCCTGCTCTGGCCTTGTTCAGCCATGTGGGGACTGAACCAGCAATGGAAGCTTTCTCTCTCTCTCTCTCTCTGTAACTCTGACTTTAAAATAAATACATAAATCTTTGGAAAAAAAATTCCAGACAATTTCAGAACTGTTGCTGTAGATTAACCAAGGGCTTACACAATATATTTGTTATCAATGCTTTATTGTTGAAAACAAAATTGAAATTCTCTGGCACATAAAACAATTATTTCTACAAAAGGAAAGCCTACAAATCTTGATAATTTATACAAATAACAGTTTCTCAAAAAATAAAATTTTAATTTAGTAAACTTGTCTTGTGCTCTATATTTTTAGCACTGTCTGCAATAATCCACCATAAATCCCTGAGCGGAGACATTTTTGATCATGTTCTAACGCCCTCCCTTACTCCCCCCTCCCCCCGAGTTGGTCAGTTACTAAGTCCAGCCCTGTAGTGAAGTGTCAGGGACATTTAGTTATTGAAGATCCATGCATTTGGTGACACAGGCCCAATTGTTAATGCTACTTGGGAACTGGGTCAACATGAAGTGCCTCTACTGTGCATTCAGCGAATCTACTAAGAACCAAGTGCTGGAAAGAAGAACAGTAACAATAAAAAGACTTAAGATGTTAAAACGAGGGAGTCATTATAAGTCAAAAACTATTTAAATAAATAAAAATGTTAGACATTGAATTTATCTTTATAGCCTTATATTAACGCCCTCCCCTCCCCGCTTTTGCAGTTGCCAATGTACTAGAAGATGAAAATATACTTCAACCCACTATTTTGGTTTGACAATGGGTTTGTTGTTAAATGTTAAATATTCTGAAAACACAGTGATTAAGTTATAATTTAACTTCTGGCCCTGCAATGAAAGGCTTACAAAATAATATACATATTATAAGAGGGCCTCCTTATTAATGTCTTCAAAAAAATCTGTTACTACATTTGCCCTTCTCACAACAACACTAATGCCATAGGAACACTACTTTAATTTCTTTATCCCACTGTATGCAGATACATAACAAACACATAAAATATGGAGAACACATAGTATGATGTATTTGCATGTCCAGCTTCCTTTTAATGGAAACGCTAATCATATGTACATGGAGTGTGAATAAGTAGGAGAAAAGCTTATTTTCAGTTTCAAAGAACCGGCTTAGTGTATCAAAGTTTTTGTTACTCTGCTATGGTAGAATAATAAATAATAAATAAATATGTAAGATACAGTATAGCTACTTTCTCTACAAAGAAGCTGATAATGAACTGTTTTATGAAGTTAATTTTTAGTCACAAAGTTTGACTATAAGCCAAAACGTGCTCAGTAAATGTTTTTCTCTACTTCATTTATGCTATTTTACTCGTGAAATGATCATTGAAGGGGTTACTAACAGGAAACGAAATAAAACACCAGATTTGCTAGTGAAAAATGGTTTGCACTGAGAACAGCACGTGGCATAGGACCTGACACATGCAGGCTAATGTGACACTCTACTGCAGTTTAAAATAACTCATTTTTTTATGTCTTTTGGGATGAGCAAAGTAAGATACATATCATTCCTTGAAAATTTATCAGCATTGCTGTTTCGGTACCTAGGAGAAAGTGATTAGCATTTTCCAAACACAAATTGGCACCCATCCTCACACACTCCTTTGTATAGACTTGACTTTTTAACCAGCAACCTCTGCGAAGCACACATTTGTCTAAAAGCTGTTGGTGACTGGAACTAGAACACTTATGAATGTCCCTTTCCTTTTATCCTCTTGTACGTACACACATTAACCAGGAATAAGCATTCTGAAAGGTACTTTTCAAACACTTAACACAATGAATTCTACTAGGCATTTAGGGGAACATACTGACAGCATTAAAGTCAAGAACACCTGCCTGACACACATCAGGCCTCCCCAGCACTCTTCTCCAAGTCCTTTTCAGAACATGAAAAGCAAGTGATGTACAAAGGAGAGCCAGTGACATCCACATCATTAAGATGCTACGAGCACTGGCTGAGGAACAACTGCACATTTAGGCTCCAAAACTGCTAAGCAGGCTGTCCCAAAGGGGTAAGACAGCAGCGTTAGGACAACCAGCGGCTCACTGGGATTTCACACTACGCTTACGTCACTCCCTATTAGCACTTAACCTCTGATAGTTTACCGTGGCTGAACACACACTCTGACTTCCTCTCACAGTGTTTAAGGAATACTATAATTTTGAAATTAGCTTTCCAAAATGAATGAAGTCTATAGTTTAGACACCCTCCCCTTGTAAGAATCCCCAAAGATCCCTGTTTTAAGTGCTCTGGTTTACAGTCTATGGATAACAATTCCATCCTCCAGGAGGTTTCCAACGTTCCCCTTTTTGGTGTTCATGGCCATGCCAAAAACAAGGTGGATCTCCCAGCAGTGGCAGTGACCTCAGTGACCTCTGCCCTGCGCCTGTCATAGCACTGCTGGGAAGTCCTGTCCGGCAAGGAAGTCTGCTTTGTCAACTGGAGGAGGACGAGGTTCTGTCCTCCCGTGTCAGGTCTTGGAGGTCTTTAAGCCTTGCTTTTCCATGATGTTCCACAGTTTCCGCAGATTGGACTGCGTGATGACGTCGTCAGGCTTGAGCTGCAGGGCGCGAAGGTAGTTGGCTTCCGCCTTCTGGAGCCTGCCGTTGAGGTGCAGAATGGCTCCCAGGTTCATTAACGCAGCCGGATACTGCAGCAGGAGAAAGGAAGGAAAACAATTAAGAGGCCATTGCAAGCTTTCTTTCATAGAAGACAAACATCTTCGTTCACTAATGTAAATGATTCCCTTATGTCCAGAGGAATTTCATGGAAGCAATTTAGCAATTTATACACAGAAAGATAACGAGGAAGTTAAAAAAAAAAATCAAACAACTTCTGTTACTTGTGTTTAAAATACCATTTGCTGCTTAGAGAAATATTTATTTTTCCTCTAGTGAGAATGCATAGGTAAAATATGAAGATCTGATAATCTGGCTAGACACTACTGTTGGAGAAAAAACTTAATTTCAGACTGGAGGAATTGAAATTTTTTCAACTCAATGATAAAAAGTAAAAAGTTAAGTGGAAAATTGATGTCTACTCTGTTTTCTCTCAGCAAATATTTCAGACTGTTAATGCAAAACCAAAAATAAACTGCAAAATTTTACTGATACTTTTGAAGTAGGCAGGCATACAGGCTAAAATGGATTAGGTTTGTGAGCTGGAAGACCACGCCTTCACCACGCCCCTGTGTGACCTCGTGCCTCTACCTGACAGCACTTGGGTGCCTACTAGCCAATCAAGTTAATTAACCACTCCCCTTTGGAAGTGGGTTAAAAGCCTGGGACATGGTATGTCCCACCCTTTTCTTCTTCCCTGGCTTCTTGCCAGGAGCGGGCTGGCTGTAGCCCTGCGCCTCCAGTGCACGTGACCTTTGGGCCACCCACCCTCGGCTTCCTGGCCTAGATGCTCCTCCACGTGGCTGGTTCCTGGTGCTCGGTATGAACCCATACTTACCTCTCTTAGATAAAGCTCTCACTCTCCTATGCATCTTTCTCACTAAATAAAAGCCTAAAATGTACCATGCTGCCTCATTTATTTGTGCCGGTATTGAGAATTCTTCTCTAAATATTAGGCAAGAACCCTCTCAGGCTTATTACTATTGGGGATTTATTAATAAGCATATGGTGATATTGTATGGCACCCCAAATTCCGGTAGCACATGTGGCATCCCAGATGGCGCTTCTGGGGAACTCACTTTTAAAGTTAGAAACCTGAATAAAATTCAAATGAAACCACTGAAGTCATTTTTACACTTCAGTGGTTTACCATGAAAAAGTCCTTGTTTTGAAAAACTGAACAGTTTTTATGGTGTTCTACACAAGTTCTAGTGGTGAATATAATGGTGAAAGACAGTACAGGAAACAATATCAAAATAGATAAAATATGGTATAGCAAAATGGAACCATTTTAAGAAGTTTGACGTTATTTGTTAAAAAGTACTTAAGTGGCCGGCAATGCGGCTCACTTGGCTAATCCTCCACCTTCGGTGCTGGCACCCTGGGTTCTAGTCCCAGTCGGGGTGTCGGATTCTGTCCCGATTGCTCCTCTTCAAGTCCAGCTCTCTGCTGTGGCCTGGGAGGGCAGAGCAGGATGGCCCAAGTGCTTGGGCCCTGCACCCCATGGGAGACCAGGAGGAAGCACCTGGCTCCTGGCTTTGGATCAGCGCGATGCGCCAGCTGCAGCGTGCCGGCCACAGCAGCCATTTGGGGGGTCAACCTGTGGGACCTGAGCCTGGATCAAGGTGCAACTATTTTAAATTAGGCCTCCATCTTGTAACTTGGGCCTGACCAGGCCCTAAACCCTGAGCCAGAAGCTCCTAAAAAAATGAACTCCCCTTGCAATAAACTCTCCTAGCAACAGCCGATTAGCAGATAACAGAGAAATACCTAGAGTTCCTGGTGTCTTCTCAGGGCAGATAAGGTGATTGATAGCTACCCAAGACCCTGTAGTTCGGCACGTACACCCCAGCAGTCAGACCCTATGCTTCGGCCAATCAATTCAAAAGGCATCAATCCCAAAGCCATCCAACCACCTTTAGTAGGTCCGTTCCCACCACTGGATGCACTAATCAATTCTAAGAGATGTCTTTGAATTTCCTGCGGGATGAGATGATTTGCTAAATGGTACCATGATGTATAAAATGTCTCTAAAAACCCTGTTAACTGAAGGGTCGGGGCTCTCAATTCAGACCCGCTGTGTTGGTGTTGATTGAGAGTCCAGGCCCGGACCTGCAATAAAACTCTCGTGTGCTTTACAGAGGTATCGGCTCCTTGGTGGTCTTTGGGGACAATTGAACTGGGCATAACAAACCAACAGAAGGAAGACCTTTCTGTCTCTCTCTCTCTCCTCTCTCACTGTCTAACTCTGCCTGTCCAAAAAAAAAAAAAAAAAAAGTACTTAAGTAACTATCATAGGATTTTCATTAATGCCTAATAAATGTAATATAAATCTATTATGTAAAAAAGCTTCAAAATGTTAAAAAAAAAAAAAGCTCTAAAAATCCCAATTCTGTAACACTAGTTTCATACAGGGGTTTCCATCCCGCAGCTCTCAGACATTAGTTAACAACAATGAAAAGTGCTTCTCAGAGGAAAAAATATTCTGCTTGCTATCTACAAACAAGGGCTGTTCTGCTCATGTCTTGTCCCTGAAATACTCTGGCTCAAAGGTTGCAGCTAATATTTTGGCTGCTATATAAACACATATTTCAATTATCAGATAAAATTAAGTGTTTATGCTATGCTTATGTTTTCATCTTACAGATAGGGTCAGCTACTAAGTGTTTGTCAACTCTGTGCTACAGCTTAAAATAATTATTTTTATGATTTACTTTTTTCACTTGTTCAGCTGAATTCATGTGACTTTACTCTTTACTGTAAAAACAATTCCAAGGGGTGAATTCCAAGGAGTAAACTGACTAGGGGAAAAAAATGATCTCATTTGGATTTTAAGGGATCTGGGTTTCTTTCTTAAACACTGTGACCTTGGTGAAGGCCCCTAAGCTGTCTGTGCTCCAGTTGCTTCATTGTGGAATACTGAAATAACTTCAACTTTTCTGCATGCTGTTAGGAAGATATGAGAAAAATAAGCAAATACATGTAGCAATGTACAGGCTCAAAGCAGACACTCTACAAATGTCAAGGTCACTTTTCCTACTTTGATTTTGCTTGAGGTCTAACACATGCTGGTTTGTATTTTTTATGCTGCTGCTCAACCTTTATAATTTAGATTTCAGGGCCTATAAAATTGTCTCTAAATGTATATCAGAATTATTATAAGTTTTTAATGACTCATCATTATTTCAAACCTTTCTGTATTTTTTCTTTTCCTTGAATAATGTTACAAATATAAGCTATTCTTGATCTTCAAAAACCTCTTGGTCTGGATGACTCCAAACTTCTCGAGGAAATTACAGATGGTCAGTTTCTAATTTTAAACACCAATCCAAATAAACACAGCTCTAAATTACATGTGCAGTGAGAAGCTCCACAATGGAAACTGAAAATACCACCACCTACTCTGTCTTCCTAAAGGAACTTGGTTATCTCACCACCATTATAAACTTCAGCTCCTCGAGCCCTAGACACATTTCTGAATTATGTCTCCCAGCACAGTCTTGCACAACTATCAATAACTAGCTATTAAACTGATAGTGAAGTATGTTCACAAGCTGAATTATGAGAGATAAGTAGATAAAATGTTTAGACTTCCTGAGTGGGAAAGAGAGGTAATGGGGGAGGGAGAGCCACTGTTGGAGACTGCTCCTTACTCACCAGAAATAGAACAGGCCCTGTAAGGAGGCAGAGAGAAACCAGATGGTTCGGTGGGATGGACAGTCAGTCACTTCTTGAAGCCCGTTAGCCCCAAAGTGCCTGTACATACGGTGTTTGTACCTGTGAGTATATCTACAAGTCACAGGAACTCGAGAACGCTCTCAGAGGGTATGGAGTCTGCTCTGTTGCAGAAATGGACGCACTTCAGGTTAGCAGGGGACTTGGCATGTTGATTTCGTCCACCAATGGGATGGTGACAGAGTCTCCTTCACGTGCAATCTGCTCTACAGACTGCATCAGATTACAAACATTTTCTTCTTTTCTCTGCTTTTCCTCTCAATTCAAAAACACAAAGTAGAATTTTCTTACTAGTGTGCCTGAAGAGCTGCTGAATCTGAAAGCTAAGAAATTGGCCTTGTCTTTATCAGTATTTTAGATATTTTTCTTAGGCTAAACATGTAAGAAATGGGTGTAGAAATGGGTGGCAAAGTATAGCATGTGGGCCGGCGCCGCGGCTCACTAGGCTAATCCTCCATCTTGCGGCGCCGGCACACCGGGTTCTAGTCCCAGTCAGGGCGCCGGGTTCTGTCCCGGTTGCCCCTCTTCCAGGCCAGCTCTCTGCTGTGGCCAGGGAGTGCAGTGGAGGATGGCCCAAGTGCTTGGGCCCTGCACCCCATGGGAGACCAGGATAAGTACCTGGCTCCTGCCATCGGATCTGCGTGGTGCACCGGCTGCAGTGCGGTGCGCCGGCTGCTGGCAGCCATTGGAGGGTGAACCAACCAACGGCAAAGGAAGACCTTTCTCTCTGTCTCTCTCTCTCACTGTCCACTCTGCCTGTCAAAAAAAGAAATAACAGTATAGCATGCTGCAAAATCGGATTTTCTGTTGTATTACTGAATTGTAGCCTGAGGTTCTTCTGTCCTTGGAACACTGACATTACCTACGTACCATGAAATGATGCAAACAATAGTAGTATTTCAATATTATTCTCATAAAACGCAACTAGGATAAGTTAAATCTATTCTGGAATGACTTCTGAATGCTAATTATAATAGTTTTTGTAACAACTTTAATTTTGCATCATGAATTCTAGTGTGTTCCTCATTAAACAAAACTAATCATGAGTTGTTATTATGAACTTAATGTGGGAAAACAGATATCAAGAAGTTCCCATATCCTACATTTTCTCAACCACTGCCTTCCCTAAAGAGTAAAAATATATGCAAACGAAAAATGTGTATACTTATGACCATCATTCAATATTTTTAAGCAGTTGTACATTTCACATTCAGTTGTAACATTTTGGTTTGGATGTAAATGTCTATGTTAAAATTTCCTATTTGAAAGGCCTACAAATATGCATTAGGGAACATCT